CTAAATAGTTACCGAACGTCGGCAGTTTCTTTGTATGACATGGGCGGCGTGGACCCCATACGAGGTCTAATCATTATTTTTACGTGGGAGGTTTTTTATGATATCAACTAGTAAATGTATCAGACCCGGTGTTTCATTTTGCTGTTCGGATTGACTTCGTATAGTCTATACTAACGGCCTAGTATGTATAAAATTTTTAAATCAGTTGAAGTTATTCATCAAATTTTTTCATATTGAAGTTGTCGAAAAAAATTTTTCCTCAACGAATAGTCTCGACACTCGACATACAAAGCATATAAACACAATGAGATGTAAACCATTTGTAAAATGTGTGTTTCGAAATGTCTTTTGTAGATAGGATTACAACGGATATTATCAATCCTTCATTTAATTTATAGACTGCACGGTCAATTTACCTAATTCACTAACATCATTGTAGTGGATCATTATCGTATCATTCATTGTAGACTAATCATAGGTCAAAGTAATAAATCTCACTCAGCTATAAATGGAAAAGAATTGCTCAGTTCTAACCTAAATTTCCGAGTAATTATTTCAATTTGTATGCACTTGCAAAATATGTGAAGGTTTTATAATTGCATTGATAAATTTCAGATGTAAATGTTGTAATTAACAACATATTATTCACATGTATCAATGCTGAATCAATTTCCACCACTTTGAAAAGCACATGATTGTTCATTTGCACCACTAATACTAATAAACCTAAAAAAATGGCATTTTGAATGAAATTCGAAATTTAACTTTTTTCCAGCTATCATTTAGTAGCTGGAAAATAACTATAAAAAATAACAACTTCCAATGGCGGATATTGAATTATCCGACAGACATTTTTCACAGAGGCCAAGGTGGTTCTTGCATCCAGTAGCAGGATTTCATTGAACCTAACGAGGTATCCTTTTCTGACCGGTCTCGAAGTATTTGCTCCTGAACAGCCAGCGCCTATCAGATTATACCAAGACAGCACACTTTTCTGTGAAATTATTGTAAGCACCTTCTCGATGATACATGAAATTTTTTTACACTACTTTTTCACAGCCACCGAGGGAGAAATATCTTTCTTAAATTTCGTACAACCAAATATTTTCAGTCATTCAAATATGTTTCATTTCTTTAAATCATTTTGTTCTTATCATAATTTTCGGTGTCCTTAGACAGGGCACCGAAAATTATGATCTAGGGCTCATTCGATTCGGAATGACCTCGATTAACTTTTCGAAAAATGTCAAGAGAGACTCGAAAAACTTGCAAAAGTTATAAACAATTTAGTAAAAAAAGGGGGGTTTGGTTTTTGCAAATATCTCGGAAAATATTAAAGATATTCCAAAAAAGGTACTTAAAGAGGAGGAAATTTACTAAAATCATTAGGTATCCAT